TTCCGCTCTTGCGTTTCGAACGTCGGTGCGCCCGTTTACGGCTATATCGACGTCCCGTAGCGAGCACGGGGGCCGCGAGACGTTTAACATCCGAGGTCGCGCCGCGATCCTCGGACCGGAATGATATTCGTTAATGGGAGGACGGCCGCTTTTTACACGGCGAGCTTGTAATTGAAAACTGGCAAGAAATTTAAAACGCTCAATCTCCACGACACGTAAACCGGGCCGGCTCTCTAACTTTCAAATCGTATGTCTCGAATGATCGCGGAACATGAGTTATCGAGAGACACGAGATATTGACACTTTTTAATCTATCGATCGCCAGATCAAATGTATCCGTCTTGCGGATATCTATTTTTTTTGTTTGACAATGCCGTCCGGATTTGTCACCCGCGGTGAAACACATTTACATATCTGCTTACGACTGTATTTTCGCTCTCCTCAAGATCATTCTACGACATTGTATTTAATGTGTTGTACGAATGAAAATATGTCTACACAAATTTATTTAAATATTTCTGCAACTTGTTTCTGTAACGATAATTTGTCGCGAATCGGCGCAAACTGAGAAATTTACACGGGACTAAAATATTTCTACAGTCGGCGACTGAAGAAAGTTTAAAACACGCGTAATGGAAGGATTGTTGCACCAACGTGACTACGATACGCAAATGCAGCATACACAATAGCGCAAGAAACCCGAGCATTGGACTGCTAAACAAACGAATAGAATTCTGTATACACGTAAGATATCTTGGAGTGAAGACACAGCTAAATGGTGCAGAGTGTATGTCCGGCGAGGACGGAGAATCGGAGAGGAGAGACAGTAGAGAGTCCAGAAACCGAGATGGACAAGACAATGGACGGCGACAATAAGACTGCCCAGCTTCCAGCGACGCGAAAATAAATTAAAATGAAGTTTTGCATCGGTTACCGCAGTACATCTACCGTTGTGTCTCTTATAACGCGGGATGCCTCCGATGCGTAACGCATATTAAAATAATGACGTTGACGTAAGGCTCGTTTTGACGAAACAAAAATCGCAAATGACATTTTCGTGCGATTGAAAAAGCGTAGATAAAAATTTTCCCGAAAATAGTATAAACAATTTTTTTTTTTTTTTTTTTTTACATATTGCGACGCGGTTACCGACACAAGCTCGTGATCGTATTGCATGCACGTGTATGTATGCGCGATCAGTATCCATCGGCGATTGGTCCTCTCGACATATCGGCTAGAGGCGACCTACTGCACGTGCCCCGATTCCCCTTCTCAAGGTGAATGACGAGCAATGAGTTATCAGACTTCGAGCTCGAACATTTCTTCGCTCTGTTAGGCGCTTTTGCCGTATTACCTGGGCGCGTGCGCGCGCGCCTTCTATAATCCGCGACACTTGTGCTCGTGTGTTATTCATCGATCGTTCCTACACACAGTCGCGTCAAAATGGATCGCGTGAATCAAGACCGCGGCGAAAATCAGAAAATCGTCGAAAAAATACGGTTATTTTTACTCTTCTCGTGTTACCGTGCAATTCTTACTATTATCGGTTATGGTTGAAGCACGGTGATCCATATCAATAAAAACTACTATAGTTATATGATGAATAACGTAATTACGATACAATGCGAATTTAATTAAAGTGAATGAAAAGATTATATTTCGTACTAATAAATTCAAAGACAATGCCTCAAACTATATAGATATTTTTCATTATTCACTTTCTAAAATTTTTCAAAAATAAAATTCTATAAAAAATGAAGTTTTTTAAAAAAATATATAAACTTTACATAAAATTTAATACTTTCTTCCATATATTATTTTCTCTAAATTTTATATAATACTTTTCACATGTAAGAGAGAGAACCTTGATAGAATACATAAATTATAATTTCTAACATGGCAATTAAAGTTTTAGAAGAAAATCTCGAGAAACGTGGGCTATATCATAATTTCTACTAGACGTAACTTTTAATTGAATCGGTGTATAGGCCGCATATTCACGACTTGTTTGTGTACGAGCTAATTGTTCTTGGCGACGTATAGTCGAATCGACGATATTAAGGTTACTGATAAACGACCATCTCGCACTGCACGCTGCGCCTGTTCGTTCCTTGAAATGCAGTTATGATGGCTACCGATATGAATCTGATGAAATGACGAATTTTTACGTATGAGCTAGAAAAATATCGAAATGATTGTTGGTCCATCAAAATATTAAATAATAAAGACAATATTTTAATAGATATAGAGTATAGAGCGTAGTATATAAAAGTATAGAGCGTATATCAGAATAATCGTTAATAATAATTAATAATAATTAATTATTCTTAATTAGTCGATTATCAAAATAATTAATGCTTGGAAAAGTGTTAGAAGATAAACAATATTTTTCAGTTATGGTATATATAATCATACATTTCGAAATCTCTATAGCTTAAAAATTTACATTACACTTTTTTTGACGCGAATATATCGTGATATTATATATATTGTGTGTTATATTATTAGATATTAGTAAATACGTATTTTCAGATATCATAGATATATTATTCATAATTTTATACCATAGGCTTTATTATTTGGCATGGTTAATAAATCACGGTGAAGGAAAGCATTGTGTTGTGTACAAATATATAAATACGTTGGAATACGAGGTGCGTGGAGTTAATAGCTGAACGACAACATGACGACATCCGCCATTTCTCTCGAATAGTATGCAGATCTATTTTCGAGTGATGGTTAAAATAGCTGAGCTTAAACTTCTGCTAGACACTGTCGGAGTTACTACGTTCGAAAGGAATTAGGTCAGACTTGAACGACAAAATAAGTATCAGCAAAATAGTTTCCGATAGCGCGAGTAGATAACAAAAAATAAGTGAAATCGATTATTAATAGTAACCTCCATAATTCTTATCTACCATGGAAAAAGTATTTGGTCCAAAATAATTCCCCTTTTAAAACATGATGGTTATATATATACATTTTCATACGCATCGATTACTACTTTGGATAATTTTGGATAATTTGACAATTGAAAAGAAATCATCTTTTTTATACTTGCTCCAGTTCTGTCATAGCAATATAAAATTATCTTGAAATAAACATCTATATCTTTACAAGTGCAATCATCAAAAAAATAATTTTTAAATAATTTAATAAAGATCTGCCGTGTGTAAATTAATCTAAACTGCCTTTATTTGAACATTATTTTATTATTCATAAAATTATTGCGGAGAATTATTAAATAAAATTTGAAGGGATTCATCACAAAGCGCGTAATAAATAAAAGTAATAATAATAATTTAAAATGAATTTTACCCCAAACTAGAATATAATAACAATATAATATACATATACACGTTGACTTTATTAAATGAATTTGAATTAAATTATTTGAATTCAATTTATTTGTGAATTAAGCTTCTTATAGTGAAACAACCAGTGGCCACGTATAAACAAAATTATTTATTCACTTACTAGCCATATATATTGCATGAAAGATATATACATATATAATGAAAGCTTCCGTTTAAGATCGATATCACGTTTGAAATGTAACACGTCACAATGCGCATAAGGACGTAAATGGAGCAAGGTGTGGAAAGATATAGAATTGAGCAAAAAAAATAAACGCTAACCCATATTTTCACAACGTTATTAATACCATTATCTATTTCTTGTCTATATTGCTATCGATTATTTTTATTCAACGATAACACATGTGAATTGCGGTAAAACCCGATTGCACCAAAAAATGAAAGAGAGTTTCGAAACATTGTCGGGGTACAGTTTCAACCTGCTCTTTAAATGCGTATACGCGCAGTTGCGTTATCACGCGAATAGATATGCGAAATGATGGGCGGCGCGGCGCGGCGAGAGATAACCTGGATTCGACTGCGTAAAACTCTCGGAAAGGCATTCATCGACTACACGTTATGCCCTTAAACTGCATTCGCTTACGACTTATGTCCGGTGCGGACATTATCGCGACGTTAAAGACCACGATGTCACGCCGCACGATAGCATGACTAATCGCCGAAACAATCATTGTATTGGCTAAATTTAAATACAAGAAGCGTCTCTCTCTTTCTCTCTTCTTCTGTGTCTCTTTCTCTAGGAGTTGCGTAACTCCTGGTGGCACGAGGAACACGTGGCGCGGTGTCGTGGCACACGAAACGAGCGCGAAACTGCGGAAGTCGAAGCGCGCGTGCCTTCCTCGTCGGCCTGCGAGACCGCATGATTGCCGGCGCAGTTTTACAAGCGGATACCTTTGACTATACTACCTGCTCTCCACCGCGATCGATAACGCAATGCTACTCGGCTAAAAAAGTCGTGGCAACGGTCTGTGCCATCGCTGTGCTCGCGAATCGAGCGAAACAATAAGCCCGCGGTGGACTCTTGGAATTTTTTATCCTCCTTTTCTCGCGATCTCTGCAACTGTCGAGTAACGCGTACAGGGAAAAAAGAGTGCAATCTAGTTGCCTGTGTGATTAGCACGTCGTTAATAACGAGAAATATTTTTTTATGAAGTTAATACTTAAATATGCGATGTTGATTTTAACTTATTCATTAAGCAATTAGGGATGTGGTTGAGTTTGTTTAAGCACCGGAGAAAAGTACAAAAGAAAACTAGTTAGTTAAAAATCCTCGGGAAATTGAGCACAGGCGAGCAGCTATTTGCCCTCGCAAAAGTGTTTCATTCAGTGTGGAAAAATTCTCATTCGAGAGATGAAGAAAATAAATTAGAGCATTCGTTGCAATGTTGCTCTAATTTACTTTTTCAGAACTTGAGAGAAAATCAATTTTTAAAATTGAGAGATCTTGTTCACGAATTAAATTAAAAGTCTCAACACTTTAAGATTAATTTCCTCAAGTTTTTAGGAAAATGAATTAAATATTAAAAATCCTTGAAAAGTTTATCCGCCTACTTATAACACCTCACTACGCGGTAACTTCCGCGTCAACTTTCTAAACTTAAGAGAATTTCAAAATCGGCTCACCTGCTGGAACGGGGGTAACTGCAGCAGATCCCTCTCTTCGGCGGCGGTGACTTCGAAGGTCGGTGCTGGCTGAGGCGGATATATGTTGCCCTTGCCAGGATATGAGGTGCTCCGACGGAACTTGACTGGGCTGATGCAGGAAGGATGCGCCGCTGCCGGACCCGGATGACCCGGAAACGTTGGACTCGGTTTACGGCCCTGCAGACCGGCTGCCACCGCCGCGGCGGCGTGCAGGGACGAGTGCAGTGGCGGTAGATTAGGCACGGACCTGCCACGATTCCAAGGTGACAGGCCCTGACTGGCGACCGCAGCCGCTTGCGGGCCCGCACCCCACTGCTGCGGTGCCTGCGGCCCGCCCGACCACGCGGCGTAGCCCTTACCGGGCAGGTAGACCCCCGGATGGGATGTCGGCGGCGGTTGTTGCTGCTGCTGTTGTTGGTGTTGTTGTTGTTGTTGCTGTTGCGATACTTGCATACCGCCGTGTCTGGTACCCGCGGGTGCACCCGCGTTACCATGCTGCTGCTGCTGCTGCTGCTGCTGCTGTTGAGGAAAATTGTGGCTGGCCGTGATGGCGCGACGTGTGCCGGTCGACACGGCGGCGGAAGCGGCACCGGTGCTGGCGAACAGGCCCGCGGGCCCACCAGCCGGAAAGTTCTGAAAGGCGGCGATCGAGCCGTTGACTGGTAACGCGGCGTGCAAACCGCTATCGTCTGGCGCGGACCAGAGGCTAGGCACGCGACCGCCGGGATCGGCGAAGCCCTGCAGGGCCGAGGTCGTGCTACACGTAATATCCTTATCCGTCGACGAAGGCGTCGTCGGTGTGATGGCGATACTCTCCGCTTCAATCGCGTCCTTCGACTTGTCTTGTCCAGCCACTGTGTCGAGAGCGCTGCTCGGCGAGAGCGGAGCTGGTTTGCCGGTGGCTTGCTTCTCGATCAGCAGATCGTCCTGCATTGTGGATGTTGTTACGGTGACGGCGGCGCTGCCGATGGCTTTACTACTGCTGCTGTTGCTATTGCTGCCAGTGCCGCTATTACTCGTGGTCGCACCAGGTTTTGGACTTGTCAGGATACTGGAAAAGAGACTTGTCGTGCTGTAGTCCCCCATAAATCACCGCGGAACTTCCGGTGTCCACACAACGTTGCGTCCAACCGTCGCGTTAAGCAACACTTTCAGCTAGGCCCGTTCGGAAACTTGCTCTTCTTTTTTATTCGTCTCCCACGGGTCCCGTTACTCGCGGTTCGAGGGTGTCGTTGTCGTCGAACGTGAGAGGATCGCGCGCGTCTCTTACACGTAGTGTGACTCGTCGTCGTTTCTGTCCAGCACGAGCTTGCGGGACAAACTATCGATCCACGGCCGCACGCGTAAAAACACCCACGAAGAGAGAGACCCCGGAAACCGAGAGGCCACGTCGCACGATGATCCTCTTCGTCGCGTGTCTTCCCCTTCGCACTCTCGTTCTTCGCACCTTTCTTTCTCTCTCTTTCTCGTCCGGCTTCTTATCTTCTATTTTCACCGCCTCGATCTATTTTTCCTCAAAAGGGTCCACGTTGTGGAACGCGTAGTCTCACTTTCGTGTCTCCACGTCTTCTTATCACCGAAACCGTACACTTCTCGTCGAAAACGCTCTTCTAGATCCCGCTGACGTCGCGTCGCCCCGGTACAATTCGGCAGCGTCTCCGTGGCATCCTCTTAGTTGTCGAAGAGCCAAGCTTACTCGGCGACGCGCGTTGTCATCGTCGTCGCGGCGCTCCGATGCGAAGCGCTGCTCGTTACAAAGCTGCTCTTGACTACCTCCCTCGCGTTCGTTCGCCCGCTCGACTACCGTCCTCGTATTCGTTTTATCCGGGGGCTACCCCTTGGCGAACATAATTTTGATCCTCTCGACGGAAACACACCGCTGGACCACTTGGAATACTCCCAAATACGCAACGCAGCGCGCGTGACTACCTTTTGCTTTCCACTACCACACACACACGACTGCGATGCGAGGTCGCTCCGCGGATCGTATCGCAGAAACGGAGGAAGAGCGTGCAGAGCGTATACACGATATGTTTTACCACCCTGAGCCCGATAAAGTGACGAATCCACGTCCTTCGCGAGCGATTTCGCTGACGGCTGTCACACTAAACTCACAAGATTTCCCCGAGATAAATGAGGGCTGATACGAGAACAATGATAGCCAAGATTCTCCGCGGACACTCGCGGGATGGTAGTCGTGTACTATTCCCCGTCGCCGATCGCCGATTGTTACGCGGCGCGTATCGGTTGTCGCGCTCGCGAGATTGATCGATCGTCAATAAGCCCGTTACGTACGTGAGACGCGCGGCGCGGACGGAGGAGAGCTCACCGATGTGTATGTTGCACGCGCACACACCGTGAGTCTCGCGGGGATACTGATGACAAAACGCGAGCGCGAGCCCGAGGTGCGTAGCGCGCGCGGGGGTCAGGTCAGGGTTACTACCACTTCACCGCGCTCGTCGACTACGACTACGTGTATTCCACTCGAACAAATCGGAGCGGACAATCGGAGCGGATTCGCACACTGCGGTGACCGCACGCGGCGGGCGACCCGTGGTTCGCCTCTTCCACCGCCTCCACCGCCAATCCGCCTACACACGATATCCGTGCACCACCTCTGACCGTACACGTATACGTCGGTCTCTCCCACCTCCTCCTCTACGAGGTACTAGCGACGGTCTAACGTTGTCACCCGATCGGTTCGCATATTTTCCCTATTTACCTCCCTTAACGGCACACCGTTGTCTCACCGTCGTCTAGCCTCTGTGTCTTCTCCGTCGCGCGTACACCCTCGGGCCTCCGTTAACTGCGCTCGAATAGTACAGAAGAGGCAGAAGGAGAGAGAAAGGCTGGTGGAGGTGCAAGGAGGAGGAGGAGGAGGCTCGGAAAACTCCAGTCAGCAGAACGCGTTTCGGCGACGCGACTTCGTGGTCTCTCCTCTGTCGCCGCTGCTGCTGCTGCTGCTGCTGCTGTTGCTGCTGCGTCGTCGTCGTCGTCGTGTGTACCTCTCGCGCGCGCGCGCGCCGTAGCGGTGCGATTCGTGCGTCGTGCCGACTCTTGGAACACTGCGGCCGCGCCGCGGATCGGGGCATGCCACTGCTCCGTATTCGAGTATAAGTCGTCGTGTGACCTCGCGCGTCAAACCGTGCGCATTCGGCGATATTCGCCCGGCCGTCCGTGCACTTGCTGATCGGCCTCCTCGTCGTCGTCGTCGTCCTCGTCGTCGTCGCCGTCGCCGCCGTTGCGTCGGCGATTCTGCTCACGCAGGCGCCCTGACGCCGACGTCGCCACCGCCATCGCGGCCGCACCGACACCACCACCGCGACGCCTGTCACCCCACATCCCATGTACGCCTCCTAGCCGCCACCCTCTTCTTCGTGACCCTCTAGTTATACAGGGTGCCCTAAAATTATATTGAATGTCAATAATCAGCTACAGGCTTTATGATAAGTTTGCAGTAAAGTTATTTTTAAATTAATAGATTTTATAATGGATTAAATTTATGGAGACTATATTGAAAAGAAAATAAATCGTAATTCCTTCAATATAACAATTAGAAAGAAAGTAAAAAAATAAGAGAAATAGAGGATAGATAGTGTTTTTGTGATAATCGTTGAGCATTGAACACTTTCAAAAATGCCACAAAGCGCGCACAAAAAAAATTCGAGCTGAATACACAAATTTTCCTAAGGCAAGATGAAATCTCAATATTTTTGGGTGAAAAGTCATCCGGATAGGATCGAAAAATGAGATATCTTGTATACCTTTGACTCACATCTTCCTCAATACCGATCGATGCAAGCATTGCGAACGAGCGGCTTGATAAGCAGTCGCTTGATAAGAGCTGTTCGGTTACGTACTAAAAGAAAGAAACAAGACAACTGTATAGTATATACGAGAGATTAGAAGCTGGCTACGTAAAATAAAAATATCGCAACGAACGATTTATGGCGGCGGATAACGAGCACCTCATGCGCCCGCGAAAGCGAGACAGAATAAAGTACGCGTCGTAATTGCACTCGAATCTCGCGCGCCTTCGTAACCGGGGTTTCGTCTCGCGATGAGCTATCTTGTCGGAGGCTGCGCGATATGCGATAAATCTCTCATTATTAGCTGCATTATTAGCAGGCATACGAATTATGACCGCGGATGCGGCCTACATATTGTTCACGATACGCATATTCCTATATTCGTTTACTTAGATTTATATAACATTGCGTAATAGATGTTAGCGATACGCGGTGTTTCCGCCGAATGCAAGGGTAATCTAATCATTTTGACGAGATTTCGGGCGTCGCTGATAATGAGATGATGATAAAATCTTCGAGATTAATTTTCGCAAAATAGGCGTCTTTGTCCTTTTCTCGGAGATTACTTGAATAAGAGATTATTTGAATAAATTATATTCGTATATAGGAACTGAATTACCTGGATATTATTTAATCGAGAAATGAGATTTTTGTATTTTCTAATCTTTAAATATATATTTGAAAGTTGAATTTCTTTGCGATAGAGTAAAATAAGAAAATGGAGGAAAAACAGAATCCTCGAGAAATAACATGAATTTAATACTATTGCAATTGCATTACTTTACATGAGTGATATGATTCTTCTCATCTATTCTAAACACTGTATTCAAAAATATCGAAATAAATACTACTTGGATAATTGCGTACCTTTATAATGTTAAATTCTCCAATTTTTTAGAACACAAAAATAAACTCAAGATCGACTCAAGATACTAGAATTTGAAACGAGTCTGAAAGTAGCTGAGACTGCGTTCGTTTTACAAGCGTCTGATTGACCAATCGGGACAAAGAATACTTTGTCCCGATTGGTTAATCAAACGCCCGCAGCGCTTGTGGCGGTAAAATCAACGCGGCTAAAAATCACTATAGGAGGCTATTCACTATCGGAAAATGTCTATAGAGACGTCGGTTATTCTGTCTAAAGTCTAGAGTCCCGTCTTTCGTCGCATTACGCATTTGTCCCGTTTGTCTGTATTACCAAGGTTAACCAGGCCTCGCATTTTGACAGATCGAAAAATATATCACGTGAGAATTGTCTCGTCGAAAATCGTAATTCTAATTCGCAAAAATGAATAGACTTTTCGGACGTGGCAAGCCTAAAGAACCACCACCAAACATCACGGACTGCATTGCGGGGGTAAGAAGTATGACGAATTTGTTGTTGTCGGAAAAACAACATGCCTTCTTATTTTCCACTCTTTTACTGCATTATATTATGTCGTTCCCAATAATTATATCGAGAAAAATTTATACGACTTGTGCTGAACAGTCTATATATATCAAACTTTTTGTGACTTACAATTAGAGGAATTTTTTTGGTAAATATATGATCCTCTATCAAGGTTGACAGTAGGGCGGACTCTGCAGAGAAGAAGATAGCCAGATTAGATGCGGAGCTGAAAAAATACAAAGACCAGATGGTTAAAATGAGAGATGGGCCAGCTAAGAACGCGGTAAAGGCTAAGGCGCTACGTGTATTGAAACAGCGGAAAATGTACGAAGCTCAAGTGGACAATTTACGCCAACAGGCATTCAACATGGAGCAAGCCAACTACGCCACTCAAACGTTAAAAGATACCCAGGCAACTGTAGTTGCTATGAAAGACGGTGTCAAACAAATGCAAAAGGAATTCAAACATATTAACATTGATCAAATTGAAGTAAGTTTGAAATAGTCTGGCATAAGTTTTGATAGAAATTTTGACTTAATCATTACATATATGTTGTCATTTTTGTTTATAGGATTTACAGGATGATTTGGCAGATATGTTAGAACAAGCTGATGAAGTTCAAGAAGCAATGGGTCGTAGCTATGGAATGCCAGAAATTGATGATGATGAGCTTGCAGCGGAACTGGAAGCTCTTGGTGATGACCTCGCTTTGGATGAAGATACCAGTTTCTTAGACGATGCCATTAAAGCACCTAGTGCTCCAGATAAAGAACCTGGAGCAGCTTCAATCAAAAACAAGGTCTTTACTCTAATAAAATATCTGTCAATAATTAAGAAGTAATATTACCTAATAGCATGATAGTCAAAAAAGGACATAAAGTTTAGATTAAAATAAAAAGCATTGAATATTCAATAAGGTAAGATAAAATAAAATTATTTATATGTTTATAGGATGGTGTTCCAGTGGACGAATTTGGCTTGCCACAGATACCTGCTAGCTAAGAGCACAAAAAATTTATAGATAAGATAATGTAAGTTTGAGAATATATTTGCATACACGCCCAAAGACACATGATTCTTTAAGAACAAAGGTTATGAGACGTGAAGCTTTTCTAATAAACACTCCTGTTGCGATATAGATAATACTTTAAAGCTTTGTTGACAAATCTTGCGCGGAAGAAGTTTGGTTCCATACTAATAAATTTTTATTATTTTTAGTCACTTATTTTTATTAAATTAATATTATGTTGTGTATATATAGATATAAAAAAATCTAAAAAACAAATAGATATTGATAATAGATACCAAGAGTCTTCTTTGCAATATGTACGAATGATATAAAATACATTTATGTTCCATTTCTCTAAAAATCCTTTTTTATAAATTTATTACATTACTTGTAATCTGGGAATGTTTGTCTCTTTCATATTCTGTACTTCTGTATAGCATTCACATAAATTGAGAATATTTTCTTTGCTCTCAATGAAATGTGTTTCTTCAAATCCATGTATTTGTGTATAGTGATGAATGTGTGCCTAAAAAAATGCGATATTTTATATTTTTTTATAATCATGCAAACTTTATATTAAAAAATTCATGTTTATTGATAGATTTTAGAAGTAAAAAGAATGTCAGAAAAATGAAACATTTGTGTCTGTTCATAAAAAAGTTTAAGATTAAGTTTTGCATTGTTACATGTGTTGTACCTTTTTCCTATATAATTTAGAAAACTCTTGAATTACATCTTTAAATAATAAAGACATAGCAGATGAATTAAGAAGACACAATAATGATGAAGAGTGTCCTGCTGGAGGAATGGAACATAATCCTATTTTCATACAATCCCTACTCCATGAAGTAAACTTTGATTTGTTTTGAAATCTATGAACAAAGAGTAATTATAGTCGTAATTAATATGAAATAATTAATAAATTCTCGATAAATATATTAAATCCGTTAAAGAGAGAAAAGATTACCTTTCAACATTTCTTTTTATATCAGTTAAAGTAGTATTTCCCCTTGCAATATGTGCAGCAGCAAGAACTACAGAGGTAGACTGAAGAGGGTCTAATTTAATTAGTTGATTATTTCGCGACCATGCATTAGTAAATAATTCATCTTGCAACCTTAAACATTAGTATTAATATTTCAGATTCCATTTAGATCTCAATTTTTAGTTTAAATTTAAAGTTAATAATAATAAAACTCTCAGAGAGAGCTATATACTTCGTTTTTTGCATGGTGCACATATTTGGAGCAGATAAAGTTATAGGACTGACACTACTAAATATATAATGTAATCTTGGATAAGGTACTAGATTTGTAGCCACTTCATTCATATCCATATTTAAACTTCCTGGAAATCTGGATCCGCTAAAATAAAAATTGCTGTCTTTACAAGCTTTAAATCGCGCATCACACACGAGTCTGAAAAAACTTGATTACCTGGTCAAGTGTAAGAGCATATTGGCAATAATACTGTTCATATCTTGAAATGGTTTACACGAAGCGTTATAATTCATTTGATTTGTATTTTCTTTTTTATTCATTTGACTATTACATATATCTAAAAGAGCCTTGTTCTCTACAGGAAGTACACATGTAGCATGTTCTATAAGTTCATGAGTTGCAAGTAAAGTATTGTAAGGAGCGGTTATAGTATCTTGCATATTTGCTGGATATACGCATGATACGATCCTAAAATCCCAATATTGTGAATGTATCTTTAATTTTTGTCAAGTTATATAATTATATGATCAAGTGTTATAAGAATCAATTAATTTAATTGACGTTTACATTCACAATAAGTACCTTTCTACATGAGGGTAATAATCTTTTAATAGTTTTAAGGTTGCTGTGCCTAATCCAGATCCAGTACCTCCTCCTAAGGAATGCATTAATAGAAACCCATGAAGTCGATCACATTTTTCAACCACGCGTCTTATACTTTCCTCTATACGATCATGATATTCTCTACCATGAACATGATATCCTATTGCCCTATTGAAACAAAATTTTAAATAGTTTTACTCTCTGCATGTTTCTATATTGGTACTATATATAAACATTGTCCTTTCATAAATTACCAATTGTTTCCAGATCCTGGATAATTTGTTACAGTACACGTTTGGTCAAATAACTGACGCAATGGACCTTGCTTAAATCTAGATACAACACTGTCTTCCATATCTATCAAAACAGCCTGCTTTGGAAGATCATTTTATTGTATTTAAAAAGTGATTCAATTATTTTGCAATAGTTTTAATAAATTAAATATGGGGAAAAATATACACACTCTAGCTTTAACTTTTGCCTTGTTTAAGTCGGCTACATTTTCGAAATTCAAGTTATCTGTATTAACTGGGACGTGAAAAAAACTGGGAAGCGCATCTGACAGATCACTGATGTGCTTGACATGATTTCGTTGTACTTTGAGTAAATTTACACCACCACTAGTAGTCTGAATACCATATTCATGCAAGGCTAATGGCCAAAAAGCTGAACCTATTTGATTCCCGCATTGACCAACTAAAATATGTTCAAGAAAATAATTTTTTTTTTCGCTTTGTTTATGCCGGAATCAATCATTACTTAGGACTATGTATATTTACCTTGTACTGTAATAAATTGGCTCATTATTATATTCAGAATCTCTAAATATATATCGTGTATCGTTCGTTATTAGTCATGAGGATTTTTATGATGAAAGTTATTTTTCCCGCTGCAAACATTTGTTACTTTTGTGCATGTCAAGTAAGCCCGCGGTGAACATTGGACCTAAGGATGATCGAAAAACGTTGACACGATTGGCAATTGAAGTCTGTTCCTTTAGTTGCACTATATTACACTTTTTACACTATACATTTATGGTTGTGGAAAGAGAGAAAAAAAATAAAAAAAATAAAAAAGTATAGAGTTTAGTTAAAGAAAATATTTTTATACATATATTATTTTACATTTACATATTTACAAATATTTATCGAGATTTTGTAACAATCGATCGATACATTATCTCGCGATAGCTCAATACGATCTCTTGCTTGTATCGAAATAATTTAAATTTTTTGTCGCTATCTTCGTAGTGTCGGCATGCGACCAGCGTGATAATATACGTATGAAGGGAAATATTGTATAATTGGAAAAATGAACAAAGCGACCGAATTGATGAAATGGATTTTCATATATTTCTGTCTGTTTCAATGCATTTATGCGCGTCGTATTCTCGAGGAGCCGAGTAAGTCCACCTAACCTATATAACTGTGTAACTAAAAATGTATGCTTGAAATAATGTGACATTATCAGAAAAGTTACAGAGCTAAGAATTACATTTTGTTTGAATTATAATATACATATATATACATTAACAATAATGTGTCGTCGAAAGTTTTAGCTGTAATATATGCCATGAGTTAATATATCATACAATACGTAATGTCCAAATGTTCTGGATACGAGATGCAAGCTTTTTACATTTTGGAATTATTCAGCTTTATTATCAGAATATATTTAATAATTGTTAATATATTTAATATTTTACATAAGTTAATCATATATAAAAAAAAATATTGGCATGTGTTATTGTGTCCAATTACTGCAAACTGAAAATGTTATTTTTGCTTTGAGAAAAATAATCTTTTCTATATTATATATACAACTCTTTTTTAATTTTTAAGTATTTATTGTTTTATTGTCCAATTATAAAACTAAATCAATTTTTTTATAATGCAAGTTTTTCATTTATATTAATAAGAAAAAGAAAAAATTACTTTATTCTTTGAAAATAGCGAGACTAATTTACAATTGTATCGACAATTAATTTTCAACATTTGAGTTGCAAGAAAATATTTTAATATATATTTTGATTTAATGTTGCAGAAATACACTTCCTAAATGCAGGTGATACTGTGGAAAATAATAATCCTGGGTTAAAAATATATTGTCATGTTGCTTCTTCAAAGTACTTGGCACATATATGGAGAACTATGACTGTAAGAAAATTTTAATAATAAGAATAATATTAAGAATTTTATACATGTTTTCACACACAATAGAGTATTTTAATATATATTTATAATATAAATGTTACATTGTAGATGCATCTGAATATTAATTCAGATTCCTATGTTTTGTATGATGGCAAAACGCCAGAAGAAATTTATCAAAAACACAATGAAAATCAGAAATCATGGATCTTTAGTTTGTTTGACACAAAAAAACATAAACAATTAAAAATCAATCCTTTTGAAAATATGTGCATAGGTGTTTACATAGATTCTTCCAATGAATCTGAATATATAATGAATCTGACAGAAACACGTAAGCACCTGAATCTAAGATTATTTCTTTTTGTGTATTAATATAATTAGCAACATATTTTTATTATCAGGTATCAATGTTTGGAGATTGACAATAATGATAATAGGTATTATTATTTTTTGGTATGCACATGTATTAAGTCGGAATTCACTATTTTATTATGCTTGTGGCATAATGTTTGGGGTCACTTTATCTATTACATTTTTAATATATATGGCAGGAAAATTGATACCACGGGTAACTATTTTAACATAATTATACTTTACTTGAGAGAGAATATAATTTTTGATAAAAATATCTATTAAATAATTTTTTATTTGTTAGGGGAAAGTTATGTATATAATGTTTGCTGCATCAATGAGTATTTATCTTGCTCAAGTATTGTGGGAAAACACACACTTAATTCTAGTACAATACAGAGAATGGGTGATGTGGTACATTCTTGTTACATCTCTGATTAGCTTTATAATTTGTTATCGTTTTGGTCCAGTAACCAATAACAGAACGAAACAAATAATACAGTGGTTTTTGCAGGTATGCTGCTGCGATATTTCTTTCTTAAGTTTGTTTATTGATATAATTTTTGAATTTATTAATTTATTGATATAAAAATGTTTTTTTATACTTATACAGTTTATGGGATTGGCAATGATATATAATAGCAGTCATTTCTATGAGGCATCTTTTTCATGTTGCATTATACTCATACTTCTCTACAACTTTCCAAAGGCAGTGCTCGAACGAGGAAAAAGATATTGGTAAGCATATAGGACAACTAACATAGGACCAAAATATTAATTTTGCTTTTATAATCAGCTATATTCACATGCTACACAGAGCTGCCATTGTATAAAAATTTGGTTATTGAATTATTTAAATAAAGCTCTCAAATTTGTTATGCACATACCTTACCCTTCCTGATTATGTTGCTTTGCTTTTTTTGAGTAGTTTTATATAAATTTTAATGATTTTTGTAGAGATATTTAATGTTATATCACTGAATTGTATTAATTAATACTTAGCACATTGCGTAATGTAATAGTTAATGTGCAATTATACAATCTCATGTATTTTTATTGTCATCAGCTTTTATTTTAACAAGCTTATTGCTAACAAACATTATATTTAACAGGATGTTTATTTAAGTTGTTTGGTTTCTGTGTAATAAAACTTCTTATTCCATATTTCCTGAATATATTTTTCATATGATGTATATAGCAATTGTATATCTATAGTTTGCAATAAAATGTGTTAATCTTTTTATCCAATTTCTTTAAAAAAACATTTATGAGAATCAATCGCATATCATGATTCTTGAAATATTAAATTTTATTTAAAAGCGTTATTACTAGCAACAGTATAAGAAATGTTACAATTGCTTTTTGAGTTGGCCAGATACACAATAATCTCCATTAATTTTGATCATACATTTCCAATATTTTTCAAATATGCAATAACAAATTATATATTGTGCATGTCTATATTTATCTGTATTAAACATTTTTTTTTTTTCAATGTGTTCCTTAAACGCACAAAGAAATAATATGGCTTATTCTTTCTTTTTTTTTTTTTTAAATGAGGCAAACCGTGTTTCCGGAAAGGCGAAAATTGTTAAGTGAGGGTCAATATTATCAAGAAGGAATACGGCAAACTAGGAAAGCCTTAAAAGAATTACAAGACTATTGCTCTAGCCCAGAATGCAATCCTTGGAAGACGGTTTTAAGACTAAAAGATCCTATAAGGTTATATAATTTCGGTTATACATATTTAATATTGCAATATACATCAGAAGTAAATCAACTATATGAATTTTTCAGGTTTGCAAAATTTATGGAAGGAGACCCACATTTGTCGAAATATGAGGTTGAAGAGCATGAAGAAGAAGTTTCGAAAATTTTAGAGAGTGACGAATACACAGATGATGATGATTACTCTTATTAAGTACAAATACTTAAATAAGGATTTAGTAACATGCAGAAATTTATGTCTGCTTTATAATGACAGTTTTTTTATACAATAATAAATAGAAAACTTATTTTTTTTGGTATAATTTAATTCAAAAATTTGCACAAAAAGTTTTGTTAAAAAGATTGCGAGAGAGGAATAGAAGATAATATAAATTTCTTGTTCATATCTTTGCTCAGTTATGTTTCTGTGTGGATTTCTCGGAAACATATATGTATATGTATTTCTATCAAATAATCTTATGAAATTTATGTTTCTCTGATCATCATTAATAATGTTTCTCTGATTATGTATAAAGAGAAAGAGAATGTGTGTGTGTGTGTGTGTATATATATATATACGAAAAAAATTAAAATATTTTTACAATTAGTCTAATTATTTTATCTTTATCATACAGCATGCATCATGATTTATTAGAATATTTTTAAGTTATCATTCCATGTTATATTGGAAAATTAAGATATTTTATATATTAGTAGGATTTTTAAGAATCTATATTATAGTATAATATTTTCACGTTCTTATATAATCTGACAAAATGGCCGGGGAAGGGAAAGATTGCTAATGAAAAAAGATGAATAATGTTTAAATTATTCACATTATTTAGATAATTCATACATTTTACCTATTTTAATTTTAATAATAATTTTTGATGTCTATTTTAATTTCAATTTACTTTTCAATATCGCATATTTCTCTTAAAATTATATTACAACAAAAAAACCCAACACTGATCTTCTATTTTGAAATGGAAAATTTTTTATTAATGCAAGTGGTAATTAAAGCAGGTCTTTAAATATATTTTTATAAATGGTATATTCTTAATCTTTTTGCATTTTTCAACTTGCTTTGAAATCTTATTTTGCTTAACATATTTTTTTTATTTAACGTATCCTAATAATTTTAACATATTGTAAAAAAAATTAAAAGTTTCGATCAAGACCCTGAGCTGTGGAGGTAAAATACCAATTTTCGCTATTTGATTCAATGTTGTATGTAGTCCTGGTAAAAATATCGTGCTTAAAAATTCCCAGGCAGTTTTCAATAATCTGAGTGCTACTGCACGGCTTTCTTTTCCAATAACATTGAAGATTTGGCAAAGTATAGTTTCGGTCGTTTGGATCGGATTTTGTATCATCTTTTCGATCAAGTCGATGGATAATTCTTCTGTAGGACACACGCCTTCTTGCTCAGTCAATATGCCAATTATGAAATTGACGAAATGTAATATAGTTTTAACTAAACCATTTGAACCAAATCCCATCAAGTCTACTATGTTTGTGATCGGGCTTGTGATCGGTAATATACTGGCTCTTTTGTATCTCGAGAGAGATTTTTCCAAAGGTATATTGAAATAACTATCATGATACTTATCACCTGAAAAAATATTACAATGAGGACACATTTGTATCTCTCACAATATCGTTATATATATTATGATATATTAGCTTACCTGTTCCTTCTATTAAATTGATATTTTCTTTACTGTATATTTTGCAAGAGATATTTCCAAATATCACAGCCAGACAAAAAATGAGGATTGGTATCTTCATTTTGCAAATGATTGGCCTTAGATCAAAAGTATAGAAACCTTCTTTTACACTTTCGTCTCGTCTGTTGTCTTGTCGAAGTTTCTCCTGGACAGCCACTTTGCCCTAATGGTCGACCTTCCTTTTATCGTTTTTCTTCAATCAGTTCTTGGAAGAAATAATTAGTCTAATACAATTTTTTGACAGTTTGACATTTTAGCTAACGTAAATTAGTGCTGATTCCGCGCATGATAATGGCAAATGATGTTAAAAAAAAAACGTAATATTTTAGAAATTATTATATTTTCTAATTATACATACGTTCAATTGCTCGCAAATAGTAAATTTATTTTATGTATTTTATGTTTTATTTGGTCTATATATATAAATTTTTTCTTATTTTATTTCAATAAATGTACGATCGCGCACACAAATTTGCACCAACTGTTCGCTCTGAAAGATTAACAGAAGTAATATAAACGATTTTTCATGGACAAAATTGACGTATACTGTTATCAGCACTAATTTCGTATGGAAAAATGTTGTGTATATTGATGTATATTTACTTACCTTTCATGGCTCACCAACTACCTTTCTTCTGTTATCGCCACATTTTTGCGCGATGATTATTAAAGATTTCGAGTTTTTTATTTATGATAAAAAAGAAATTGATGGCAGGTAGTTATTGAATATTAAATATTAATATTTAAAATTAGACACAAGAAGATTTAAAATATCAGATATTTATTAAAATTTTACATTTTATTTTTCAATATTAAATGCATTTTCTTTCGTGATAACTTACAACAATATTATAACAAACATTTTCATATTGTACAGTTGTTCATATATATTGTGTGTGTATTATATAGCAAATATAATTAAGTTTTGCAGAGTTTTTATATATATATTTAATAAGACATCATAAACATGCATTGTAGAAAGTTTATTATAATAAATTGTATGTCATATAATTGTTATCATTTAAAATTGGTCAATGATTTACAATTCAAGTATTTAATATATATGAAAGAAGAAAAAAATAAATTTTGAGTGCCCAGTAATATTATTCGGCTCGAGTACAGTTGAATTCCCATGGGACGACGGAATATATCGTACATGGTAAACGCACTTCACGTATTAGTTTCAGTATAATATTTATATAATCGTTTGTAGTTTGACCAGCTGGGAATAGTGCAGACATGTTGGATAAGAAGCTATTCATTATGTCGCCATTTGGTTCAGTATTTTGATCTACCGCTGTAAATGAGAATTTATCAGTCAAATATAAAGTTATTATTAATTTTATGTTAAAAATGCTTGTATAAATAAGAGTTTTTTTATATTTATGTGAATATAGAAAAAATATAAAAATATTTTAAAATATGCTTCTTCTTCTTGCGTCCCATCTTCTCGTCGAATTATCAGAGCGACTTATTACAATCAGCGGGACGCTCTAACAATCCTACGTATCGCTACGACTAACAAGTATACGCAGCGCAGATTTCGGTAGTTACACACTATACACACTCACACACGCGAAAACCGATAACGCAAAATGGCCGCTGCATCTTTTCCGTACGTCGCAGCGGAAGTCGCCAACGTGGCGCGTCTCAAAATTCTAGAGGATATAGGGAATTCTTTGATAATAGGTTTCCATGGCTAAATTAGAAGGCGCGATATTTGAAAATTATTAAATTATTTAATCGGGAATCGAATCATGTCATAATATATACATATATGCATATATATATATATATTAATGTATAAATTATTTACAATAATGTTACATTTATTTTATTTATAATTATATTTAAGTATATATTATATTTGGATACTTACGACTGCCCTGTAGCATCGTTATTAGAACGAGAATCATAAAAACACTATAATTAAGTTTTTGCAACATGATGCTTTTCTTGAGCATACCAAGAGGATAACTGAGTGCTCATTCTTGTACGATATTTTTATATGTTTTGATATGCAGATACATGTATAAAATATGTAGATACATGTATAACATGTAGATACATGTATAACATGTAGATACATGTATAACATGTAGATACATGTATAACATGTAGATACATGTATAACATGTAGATACATGTATAACATGTAGATACATGTATAACATGTAGATACATGTATAACATGTAGATACATGTATAACATGTAGATACATGTATAACATGTAGATACATGTATAACATGTAGATACATATATAACATATAGATACATATGTGTAGATACGTATTACGCATATAAGTAAAAATCCTTGCAAAAAATTAATTATTATGGAATATACATATATATTTGTGTGTGTGTGTGTGTGTATGTAAATCATTATTTGAATTACAATAAATTTTTAAAAATTACCGATGTTACTTAGTGTGTAATCTAATATTTAGTATGTATCGTTTCTGTCTCGTTATAAAACGTTTCAGAGAAAAATTTTAAAATAGGATGTATAAATGATTTATAAATTTTAATATCTTACATAAATATATAATTAAAAATGTGTGCTACTAAAATTAATGTTGATTAAATATAAGTAAAGAAAGAAGAATATTGATAAATTTCAAGTTTATAGCCACTTTAATGCGTCATTAATAAGACATTTTTATCAAAACTTATTTCTGTTGTTATTTTTTTATTTTTTGGAGACAGAAAAGTTATGTAGAAACGTCATCAGGTGACTTCTAAAAATAAACGTAACTTTACAGATTATTCATTATTCATTACACATACAAGCCACGGAATTATCACTATTTTTGTATTCTTGTGTCAGTTCTAGCTGTTTGTTTAGCTTGCGATTATTACGAGCAATATGACATTACATGTTGCTTTTTCTGATGTTAAATAATATAATTTTCCATCTATATAAGTCAAAAGATCATTTCATATTCCGTAGTTTCTTTTGGGTTATTATTCCATTTATGCTGGTCATATGTCATTATTATTATACATATCATGTGCGGTTGATGCAATCAAAAAACATACTATTGACATACACATATAAAGTATCTTTTGTATTTTAATGCTTGTTTGAAAAGTTTGACAATTATAACATCTACATATTATTAAATATTTTATGGTTGCGTTTTGTCGTATATCAATTTCTGCATTTAAAAAAACATCTTACTGATGCTTTTTTTTTGCTGATTATGTTATTGAATATATATAACAAATATATTTATATTTTAAATATATTTTATTATACATATATACATATATGCATATATATATATTAATGTATAAATTATTTACAATAATGTTACATTTATTTTATTTATAATTATATTTAAGTATATATTATATTTGGATACTTACGACTGCCCTGTAGCATCGTTATTAGAACGAGAATCATAAAAACACTATAATTAAGTTTTTGCAACATGATGCTTTTCTTGAGCATACCAAGAGGATAACTGAGTGCTCATTCTTGTACGATATTTTTATATGTTTTGATATGCAGATACATGTATAAAATATGTAGATACATGTATAACATGTAGATACATGTATAACATGTAGATACATGTATAACATGTAGATACATATATAACATATAGATACATATGTGTAGATACGTATTACGCATATAAGTAAAAATCCTTGCAAAAAATTAATTATTATGGAATATACATATATATTTGTGTGTGTGTGTGTGTGTATGTAAATCATTATTTGAATTACAATAAATTTTTAAAAATTACCGATGTTACTTAGTGTGTAATCTAATATTTAGTATGTATCGTTTCTGTCTCGTTATAAAACGTTTCAGAGAAAAATTTTAAAATAGGATGTATAAATGATTTATAAATTTTAATATCTTACATAAATATATAATTAAAAATGTGTGCTACTAAAATTAATGTTGATTAAATATAAGTAAAGAAAGAAGAATATTGATAAATTTCAAGTTTATAGCCACTTTAATGCGTCATTAATAAGACATTTTTATCAAAACTTATTTCTGTTGTTATTTTTTTATTTTTTGGAGACAGAAAAGTTATGTAGAAACGTCATCAGGTGACTTCTAAAAATAAACGTAACTTTACAGATTATTCATTATTCATTACACATACAAGCCACGGAATTATCACTATTTTTGTATTCTTGTGTCAGTTCTAGCTGTTTGTTTAGCTTGCGATTATTACGAGCAATATGACATTACATGTTGCTTTTTCTGATGTTAAATAATATAATTTTCCATCTATATAAGTCAAAAGATCATTTCATATTCCGTAGTTTCTTTTGGGTTATTATTCCATTTATGCTGGTCATATGTCATTATTATTATACATATCATGTGCGGTTGATGCAATCAAAAAACATACTATTGACATACACATATAAAGTATCTTTTGTATTTTAATGCTTGTTTGAAAAGTTTGACAATTATAACATCTACATATTATTAAATATTTTATGGTTGCGTTTTGTCGTATATCAATTTCTGCATTTAAAAAAACATCTTACTGATGCTTTTTTTTTGCTGATTATGTTATTGAATATATATAACAGTATATATAGCACACAATTACGCTAATCGTTTTTTAATAAAAAAGTCCGTGTTGATAAATAGAACGAACTGATAATGCTGATATAATTATATAATTTTTAGCTTTTATTATACATCAACATAATAATTTAATCATTAATTTAATTTTTGTTTAAGTATAAGTATTATTTATAACAGAATAAGCTATTTTTTAGATTTCGATATGTATGACTATTGAATTGGGATCAAAATATCCAATTGACGTCGTTTCCTATGACAAGAATATCCAACAAACAAATCAGTTGTTTAACTTGTATAAATCTACCAGCAAAGTTTATAAATTATTTCGTTTACTAAACAATATTCCGCTCAAAATCACCGCTCGGACGGTGTACAGAGAATTGTTTGAATAGCGACCTAGTCCGATTTGCACAAACGGGAGAGCAAATACACGAAGAGAACAAACATATAATTTATTCGAGACTCGCGGAATCGATGCGTCTGCCAGTCGATCTCTCGTTTACTCGCTGTTTCTTGCTATTTAAATTTTCTCGTGTAAGTACAAAATCTCGTTTAGTTTTTCGCGTTTCAATTGCTTTGAATCTGTAAAATCGATCGTCCATCATATTATACAACCGTTGTTTTTCTGTCTAACAATCGATTAAACACCATCGGAGCGCGAATGGAATCGTGTGTTATGTTTTAATACTGACTAGGCAACGCGGATAAAATCGTGTGACGCTGATTTATCCCGTTATTATCTGATATCTAAATTGATTCCCTCCCGTCGCGATCGGCGACCAGCAGTACGGATGCGACGACGGTAAAATACAATAGATTTGAAAACATCGAGATCCGTCTTGTCGAACTGGTTCGTGAGATCGATTGAATTTCAGCGCGACGCGATTACTCGGCGAAGAATGCCTCGTAAATTCAGTATCTCCTTGATCTCAAGTTTGATCGTCTTTATATGCATAATAGTGATGTTTGACCTCGTGCGGGGTCAGTTAATCAGACCGAATTACGTGTACGAGGGCCTGATCAGAGATATCCGCACTTACTTCAATAATTCGTGCATCATACTCTTGCATTCTGAATCGAATCCTATTGAGACGCAGGGTGAGAAGCAGATGGAGAAACTGAAAATTTTATTTATCGGTATCGATTCTTCGCATACTGAAGGCTGTTACCTTGCAGGACTTACGGAAGCCGATCGCTTGCTGCATCTTCAAAAATACCTGAGCTTGACTCTTCATATACGTACTGCACTCATGGATTTTAATATGTTCACAACGCGAGTGAGCGCTTAGAATCTATTTGTTTTATACACACGCACATATAATCTGTACTTTTTATTATATAAATACGGAGCACTAAGATAAATTAAGATTTACTTAATCCTATATCTTAAAAAATATTTATAATGATATATTAATAAATAGAATCATTGCATAATCATTTGCATACAAATTTTAAAGAGCGATACATCTATTTCTTACTAAAAGAGAAAAGATTTGCTTGCTTTCAGGTCGGGGAAAGTTATCATAACATCAAGAGGCCTCTGTTCGTTCTATTAAACGACAATGAAGATACAAGAAATAATTTTGTAAATGTAATTATATCTGAAAAAATTAAAGATATTATTTAGGAAACTTAATAAATTCTTTTTAGATTACTGCAATAATATTATTTCATTTATTAATACACAAAATTAATTGTTAATAAAAATACAAAAGAGTCTTTCTCTCTCTGAATTTTTGTCGTAATAAATATACAATTACAAATCGGATAAATTTAACAAACAATAAAATCTCCACTTTCATTTAATCTCATGTTAAAGTTTTTTTAAAACAGAAACTTTTGTCGCAAAGTATTACTTAATCGTATCTATGATTAAACTTCACAATCTGTAAAATTAGCGAACAAGTGGAACGTTTACTTACTGAAATGCAGCAGGTCTCTACGTGGATCACGATGTCTTATCCGACTTGGCTGGTCTTCTTCGATAACACGAACAACTTGACAGATTTCTTCTTCGACGTTTACGTACCATTCGATTCTAAGTTTATGGTGGCTCAAAGCATCAACGAAACCGATAAGGAGATCATCACTGAAGTTTATCAAGTTTATAAAGATAAAGAACTGAGATTGGATCGATTCGGTGTGTGGGATCCGGAGGAAGGTCTGAAAGGGCCTCCACACGGCCTATATTTACGAAGGAACGATCTTTTCGGCCATAACTTACGCGTTGCGTCGCTCCAAGTAAGATCAATTATCTTATTTCCCGCAAAAAAGTTCTAATCATAATAATAAACAATCAAATAAAATTAATAATAAAAAAAAAAACGATATTAATAATATTCAAATTGATAATGAGTGATATAATTAAGCTCAATGGTGGCTCAAAGCATCAACGAAACCGATAAGGAGATCATCACTGAAGTTTATCAAGTTTATAAAGATAAAGAACTGAGATTGGATCGATTCGGTGTGTGGGATCCGGAGGAAGGTCTGAAAGGGCCTCCACACGGCCTATATTTACGAAGGAACGATCTTTTCGGCCATAACTTACGCGTTGCGTCGCTCCAAGTAAGATCAATTATCTTATTTCCCGCAAAAAAGTTCTAATCATAATAATAAACAATCAAATAAAATTAATAATAAAAAAAAAACGATATTAATAATATTCAAATTGATAATGAGTGATATAATTAAGCTCAAGTAATATAATATTCGCTTTGACATAAACATTTTACACTCATAGGACCCTCCTGTCAGTCTGTTTCATCGTAATGAAAAGAATGAAGTAATAGGAATTTATGGCTTTTTTGGGAAAATAGTTTTACTATTACAGGAGGAATTGAATTGCACGTAAGTACTATCACATAAAAAATATATCTATTTATATTCCTATCTATGTATTATATAAACTCGGTATCCGCGCAAGATAAGCATTATTAAATTCAATAATTAGCTTATAATTTCAAAAGAAAAATATCATTTATTAGATTTATAAAAAATCAATAACTATTATATTGATCAATTATTATTTATTGTATTTGACTTTTTTCATTTCTTGTCAGAGTTCTTTGAAGTAGTTTTGTCCATAACTTAACTGCGTTTCTTTTGCTCTCTCTCTTTTTCCGCTACTTTATCCTTTTCGTTTGCTATTTTATTTTTCTTCTCTTCCGCACGTTTCTTTTGCTGTTCTTTGAGCTCTTTCAATTGCCTGGCGGTTTCTCTTCGGAAGTATTCTTCCTCGTGAGCTGCTCCTTTTTCCTCAAAGATATCCCTTTTTCGACCAATGCCGGTTCTTCGACGTCTTTCCGAATACGTTTGCGAATTGTATAATGGATAATACCTAATTATATTTAATACAAAATGTTACAATTTGTTTTTTGTCAGAGAAAGATATATATATGATATATAATATTGCTACAATAAATATCAATTCTCTGATAAAAATAATAATTATATTATACTAGTATTTATATAATTAGTAACAAAATAAATAAAATATATTAGTTTTTATGTTATTTAAGCACTTATTTTTAAAATCAATAAAAAAGATTAATAGCATCGTTAAAGGAGGGGTTACGTCATTGTCTTCAGCCTTTTCAAACTAATCCTTTTTGCAGCAAGATTGCGCAGCATGATTCTTCATCGGTTCTTCATCCTGCAGTTTCGCGCTCGTCCCGAGATTATTACGATGATTAATATTACTTGAAAAGAGTTACCGATAATTTTGACATAATTTTGACTGTGAATTTGATTTTGACAGCTCTCACTGTGAAGTTCTTTCAGAATTGTCATTTGAAATTGTTTGATCATTCCTTTTTTTTAAAAACAAGTTGTGGAAATATATCAACTAATGACTAATTATAAAAGTCGATCACTTATATGTTGAACAATTGCTCCAGATTCACATACCGGGAAGCCGGATCGTGGGGCGTGTGTCCACCAAATGGCTCGTGCACAGGTGCAATCGGAATGTTGAAGAACGATGAAATTGACTTCGCGGCGACAGAATTCATGATGACTAAGCAGAGACTAAGCTTCGTCACTTTTACAACACCCATTTTCTCGACAAAGTATATTTTCATTTTATAAAACATTCTAAATGCACCAAAATGCAATTTCTCAATCCAGAATATTTTAGAAACAGCTTCGAGACATCTCTAAACTGAGACATTCTATATTCTGTATAACAAAAACATGAACATATATTTTATTAATGGAGTAATTTATTAATTTAATTATTTCAGTATTATTATATATTAAATTTAATTCAGTCGATTAAATTACTTATCTAATACTCACGATTAATTATTTACATTCCATTTATTATTAGAGTCCGTCCATACGTTAAGAGGCCAAAGTCGACGAGTATAATAAAATGGGATGCTTACGTGGCTCCCTTTTCCATAAACATTTGGAGGGTTATCGCTCTTTTCATAATAATCATGAGCGCATCCATTGTGTTTATTCAAAAACTTTTTGCATTCGTACATCTGCAAGACAATAACTCACCATCAAGATTTACAGAGATTTTATTTTTTATCACAGGAGCATTCTGCAATCAAGGTAATTTTGCGCCATTCCTTTGTCAAATGAATGCTCCTATCTTGGAGCTGTGTGCAATTTTTTTACATATACCATTATTATCGTGAGATGTAATATCTTGCCAGGTATGCAACAATCTATGCTGGATCCTGTAAGAATGGTGCATTTAGTAACTTATTTGACGGCGGTCATAATCTTAGCCGCATATTCTGCCGCCTTAATTAGCTTTCTTACTGTCAACACATTTGTCATGCCTTTTACGACTATGGAGGGACTCTTGAAAGATGAATCTTTCCGTTGCGGCGTGATTGGTAATTCGGCCTACTATGCTTTTCTTCAGGTATATAAATTCTTTTTTTGCCGTAAAATCAGGAATCCTCGAATATGCGTATTGTTATATTTGAGACGCTCTATACAGCAGCTTATTGTAATTAATTAAATATATGTATGTCCCCCTAATCTCTGTGTGTGAATAAAATTATGTCAAAATGTCACGCGGTTACGCGATAGATAACACATATTTGAATTTAAGGTTTTATCCAACTAATATAGTTAATGGAGTGAAAATCTTATTTATGGCGAATTTTACACACGAGGTACAATTTATATGATAATTTTGTTACGACAGCATTCGACAGACGAGGTAATGAGCCAGGTGTTTACTAAACTAATAAAAAAAGAAAAAAAATTGCCAACAAGTTATTTGGAAGGTATCGAACTCGTTTGCAAAGAGGATAAATACGCCTTTGTTGCACTCGACAATATGGCAGCGTTGCTGCAACAGAATGTCGATTGCAAGTTGGAGCCATTGGATATCATCACGCCTGCTACTATAGCGATGGCCCTACAACGCAACAGCCCTTTTCGCGGTATTATTAATACACAGTAGGTGTCAATTAGCATATTAAATCAAGTATGAGACAACGCGTTTTTAGACAATCAAATTTTGCTTTGTTTACAATTTTATTTTGTTAATTGCTCTTTATTAATATTATTGCAGTATCTTGCTGCTGAGAGACAGTGGAATCTTGCAACGTTTACTGGAAACGCAATGGTCGGTCCAGTTAGGCGCAGTGAGTATTACAATAGTAGCGCAATAAATTCTGCAGAATATTATTAATTATTACTTGTAACACAAAAAGCTTGATATAGTGTACATTTATGTCTTTGATCTAATAAACTCGTCACTGATTGCAGTCGACATCATCGTGGAAATCGGTCGAGATTGGTGATATAATGCCATTACTGTTTCTCATAATCATCGCTTCGTTTATCAGCTATCTTGTCTACATTATAGAACACATCACCTATAAAATTTATCAAGCAGGTCAAGTTAAATCGCAACAATCGAAAAAATAAACAGAGGATATATGTACATAGCACATTCTGTTACGACATGTCTTGTTTAAAATATAATAAATCTTCTAATCGTTTAATCTTCTAATTTTCTAATAATCTAATCTCTTTTAATATACGGACGGCATCTAATAATAAACGAAATGTAAATAATTAACCGTGAGAGATAATAAGCGTATATATTAGATAAGTGATCACAAACATGAAATTGCATTAAAATATTATTCTATACCTAATTTTTAAAATTTTTGGTTTTGATATTATAATTCAGAGAAAATAAATAGCATGCAGATTATATTCCATGTTTTTAAATTCATCGTATTATGTTTTCATGTTTGTGATCTCGTGTTTATAGCATGTTGATTACATACGGTAGGACGAATAGGTTGTCGGGCAAAAATACGCAAGCCGTAGGATTTGCCGATTTTCCTAGCAGTTGCTTCTAGAAATCCGTAGGGATAACGCGCGTCACACAGTTAAATCAAACATTTTATTACTTATATTTATCAAAATTTTGTAAATATAGTTTGCGAACATATTTATTCTTTTGTAATTATAGTGTTCCTCATTAATAATCGAAGTACTTAATTACATCACATATATATATATATATTTGTGTAGCTGTGGGTGTGGAGGGATACGTGCGTATATTTGAATGTGTGCACGCGCGTGTATAATATATATATATATATATATATATAATAAATATATTTATCAGATCATGTCGGCAAATATTCTTCGATCGCAATATCGTAGTAATGAATTAAAGAATGCCGCAAAAGAATGCGTGTCTACAAATAAAGAAAATATGCAAGTGCAAAAAGGTAACAGTGTTGCCAAAGATAAAAATGGGTGTAAAAACAACAAAGGATTATCGTTAAAAACAAAATATTCTCTGCCAAATTCTACAACACAAATGCAAAAGTCTTTTCTGGGTGAAACCAAATTCAAAATTCATAACGATAATGAGGAACATTCCAGATCACGCCCGCGCGTGCGAAAAGATATATGCCATACGGCCATTTCATATAGGTGAGAAACATTAAACTTAATATTCCTTTCTTTTATTTTTATTTTTTAAGAAACTTGTACTTTTAAGTTAAAAATTAAAATATTTATGTTATAAATAACATTTAAATATATATATAAATATTAAAGAAATCAGTTTTTTTTTTAAATATGCTGATGATGCATAAACAAAATATAAAGTCTTGATAAGTTAGTTTATGTGTATCCTATAGTGAGAGAAAAAAAGAAAGTTTTTTTTTTGTAGAGCACGTTCTTCAAGCAACTGCCGAAATAGAGTTTCTTCAGATAAAAAAGACAATATAAACAGCAAATTATTTCAGAGGTAATTTTATATACAAGTAAATTTTTTAAATAAATCTACAAGATATGATTTTTTAAAATATTATTTTATTTATTCTCTTATAACAAATTATAACAAATTAAAGAATATTTTTATTTATTTTCTATAACATATACTCAAAAATATTTTGACCTCCTATACTAATATCATTTATTGATTTTTCTTATACTAATACCATCTATTGTATCAATACTAATACTCCAATCGCTTCTTGGTTGAAAACAATAAAAAGAAATATTACATATTTTCTTTAAAAAATAGAAAATATTTAAAAAACTTTTTATAATTTTTTATAATTTTTTTAATAAAGAAATAAAAAGTTTAAACAATTATTATAGTTATATAATATTTTTTTATGTTTTAAATTTTGTATTAAATTTTAAATTTAATATTGACACGCGAATATTAATTAAGAAACATTCAGCATATTATATTTATTTGTTTTCTGTTTAGATCTCGTTCTGAAAGTAGAAACATTCCGCCGCAGAATGCACAATGCGTTAGAAGAGTATTGTCACACGCACATATTCCAAAAACCAGACATCTTTCAGCTGAAGTTAAAAGGCGAACATTTACAAGCATTGAGATGTGGAAAGACAAAATGAGGAAACCATACAGTTAGTATCTTGAGTATTTATCGTAAATGTGTTAATGAATTGTATCCAGATCTTGCCCCGAAAATAAAAGAGTTTATAAATAGGTGAAAGAATTGATCAAAAAACTTTTTTTCTTAGCCGGTACCGTGCCTAAGAACTTGGCGGGCAAATATCCTAATGTACTAAATGTAGATCAAATCCATACTAAAATCAAGCAACGAAAAAGTTCTATCGCTGAACCTACCAAAATTCTATTTCAAAGATCATCGAATCTTCAATCCGAGATAGATCGCAAGCAAAATCAAAATATCAAGGACTCGACGTTTTCTTGGGGGACTGTAATGAAATGTTTACCAAGCGAAGATGTGCCAAATCTGTAAGATAATAATTTATTAAATGTACGAGTTAATTGTAATATGAGGTAAGACATAAAAAAGACAATTTATGGAAATTAAATAAGTATTCATTAATAACAAATAAAGATTGATTTGTTATTGGTATTGTATTCAAATATTTATTTATTAATTAATTATTATCATATCATCACAAAAAAACATCATTTTTATGTTAAATCATTATAGAGTAATTGTAATGTTGGAAAACTGCTTTGTGCTACTTTTGAATTGTTATAAACATTTTTTTTTAGCACAAACGAGATCGCTAAAAATGATGAACAAAATTATCGATTGAATATTAGATTTGGAGCAAACATTCCTAGGACTTCCATAACACCTCTAGATAGTTCTTTGCTTCCATTAATAACTCCGACAAAGGTAATGAAAAATGATATGTATTGATATTATTTATATATGTTATTATATATATTATAGTATGTTGATACAAATTTATTTTAATATGTGTATCAGATTTTCAAAACAGACTTAATAATATTGTATAAGTTAATGTAAGAATTGTTGGGCAAATTTGATTGTAGAGCATTAAACGAAAAATCATTTACCCTACATAGAATTTAAAAAAGTATTTGTTAAAAAGGTTCGTTACTTAAAACGTGAGGAGGCGCATTATAATGACAAATTATCAATCAAAAAAGAAGTCCCCGAAGATATTTATCCGTACGAGTATGATTATTTGGAAGATGTGCCACATATGGAACGCGAAAGGGAAGACAATGCTCCCAAATTATCTTTTCGTTTTCTGAAGCAAAGCGTAAACGCAGATCAAAGAAGAATTATCGTAGGATATTTGATTCGTCTTGGAGTAAGTATAATATGGCTTAATTACGGATATAAATATCCAACGTTTATACAAGTGATTTTTTATACTGTCAATAATAAAACATAACAATGATAATTAATACGAGATATTTTTTTTGATCACATTGACGTGATGAAATAAAAAAATGGATTTAAGTTATACTGAACTCTGTTTATAATTTTTCTGATTATGATTTTTAACGCAATTTTTAGGTACACTGCCAGTACTCGTCGAATATTATTTATCAAACTGTCAAGTTATTCGATATCACTATTGACAGAATTTTGGTAGAAACTGATAATATACAATTAATGGCTTTAGCGTGTCTGTGGATAACTCTTAAGCGAGAATTAACTAGTTATAAAATACCATCGGTAATAAAATTTTTTATCCGGAGAAAAGAAATTGAAAGGGAGATATTATTATGATATTAAATAGTTAGAATAATTGTAGTTTTAGTATAAATGTGTTATATATTTTGTATCTTTTTAGGCGACTACAATAGTGAAAATGGCAAAGGATTTATATATAAACCAGGAGAAAAATTTATTAATCTATGAGAAGAAGATTATTTCAGCTGTTAAATTCAATTTTAGATTTGCCGATCCCTACTCATTGCTTTTCTATTATATACTGGATGTGACACGAGATAAGAAATGTAATATTAATTCAAGCGACATCCCATGCATTTACTTTTGCGGTAGTTACTTGGTAAGAGAACAGATATATACATGTAAATCATACATATATGCGATTTAATTTTTAGTATTATACGCGCTGAATTATACGCGCATACAAATAAGCGGTATCTTTCTTATGTTTTAGCTAGATATATCTATGTTAGATGAAAATTTATGTGATCGATCAGTATGTGTTCTGGCCATTGCTGCGGCTGAATTATCACTTTACTCTGTATATTCTGATAATACTAATATGCATAAATGGTGTAAACTACGGAGACGCAAATATTCGCTCACAGAGTAAGAGAATTAACAACTTCTGTTTTGTTTATTGCAAAAATATGTATTAGTTGTATCATCTTTCTTAATCAACAAACACTTAAGATTTTTATACATTATAAAAAAACAATGCAGGAATCTTTAATCACGAGCACTTAATGGTTTTGTTTGAGAAATGTTTTATCAAACAAAAAGAGTTATTATAAAGACTAATTACTGGAAAAAAATTATTATATTTTATTAAATATACATTCAAGATGTATTATATATTAATTCAAACGTTTCGACCCATTTCGGGTTCTTTTCAATGAAATTGAGCTGGAAAATCAAAAATTAAGTAAAAAGATCAAGTAAATGGCAAAACTTCATAAGGCAGAGTAATATAGTGGGCGATATAGCGAACAAAATGCAAACAAATTAAAATTTGTATCCTAGTGCGCATACGATATAAATATATATAGAGCCTGATAATACAAAAAGATAGCATAATAAAGGTCATACACTGGTCATTAACGCAAATTGATCTTCTTTTGAATTCTAAATTTATTTTATAATAAGCCATTACGTCGCTGTGAAGGTGAGTTTAGAATTTGCGTTAATGAGTCTGACCAGTGTGACCTTTATTGTGCTATCTTTTTTGTTTTATCAAGTTTTATATAGATAAATAATATATATAATAATATATGTATACTTATATTGTATGCGCACTAGGATACGCATTTTAATTTGTTTGCATTTTATTCGCTATATCGCTCACTGTATTGCTCCGCTTCATAAAGTTTTGCCATTTATTTGATTTTTTTATTTAATGTTTGATTTTCCGCCTTGATTTTATTGAGAAGGACGCGAAATGGGTCGAAACGTTTGAATTAATTTATAATGCATCTTGAATGTATATTTAATAAAATATAATAATTCGTTTACGATTTAAGTACCGCGTCTGGGCATCAATTGGTCTTCCTTGTTTATTAATTGATTTTTATTATTCGAGCCTCATTGAATCTTTTGTTTTGTTACTTTATTTTTATATATTTTAGTGTTTATTATTTTTATAATAAAAAATATAATTTGTGACACGTTTTCTGAAAAAATTAATTTTAAATTTTGCAAATTTTTTGTATTAATTCGGAATATATTTTTTTAGATGTGAAGAGATGGCGATGAGTTTTACAAAACAGAGTATAATACAACAGGCTGTAGAATCTGATAAATTTGGTTCAAATATTGTATACAAAAAATATTTGCGTACTAAACACGGAAGAGTTTCCAATTTTCTTCTTGATAAAATGAAGAAAGCTTTTATACCTAGAGACACTAATAAATTGTAATATAAGCTTTTTTATGAAAGATTATGATATTAAATATTAAATTTTATAAACATTTATTTGAATATTAAATTATATGATATTAAATATGATATTAAATGATAAATATTATATTAATTGTACAATTATAAGAAAATTAAAATCAATTCTTATATCAATTTTTCCTATTACACTCGGTACATATAAGAGTAATAAAGCAAACTTATTAAAAAATAAAAAATAAATAAATTTATGTAAAAAAGAACATATAGTTCTCTTTATTTAAAAGAACAAATATGATTATGAAAAAAACCTGGAAGCGTCTCTACTTTTTAAAGAAATCAAACTGAAAAATAAACTATTCTATTTACTTTAAAAAATTTTTATAATATTGATTGTAAAAAATTTTTTTATATTTAATAAAGTAAATTTTTTGTATTTTATACATATATGCATATCTCGTATCTTATCTATCTGTGTATTAAAATGTTAAAGAGACTGGTCTGTCAGAATATGAGAAAGCTACTTGCAAATAAAATGTTTTAATATTAAGAAATGCAAATTACAAGATATGCCTCTTTCATGTAACATTGTTAAGATATTTTACTTATTCATGTTTTGATAAAAAAACACAATAGTTTCTTTAACATTTTAAGAGTAGGATAGAAAATTTATTTTATTATACAAAGTGTGAGTCACTTAACAAGATTATTTTGAAGAACTTTTAATTTGTATATTGTATACACAAGAATAGACAAAAGTTAGTAACATTTCTATGCTAATATTTATTTTTAAAAGATTTTATAAAATTATATAACACGAGAAATAGGATATAAAATAATGTACATTGTATGCTTGAAAAAGTACATATTTTTATTGAAAATTTAAGAAGAAATCATAATTTCATACGTCAATATTGAAAAGCGTAATCTCTGTCGCGGCTCTGTCGTATGTCAGTTCACATAAACATAAGCGAGGTTATCAACTATAACAATATTCATTTATTTAACAGTCCTCCTTGTGAGCTTGATATATGACCTAATAACGATAATTTCTCAGCAATGACAGTAGAAACAATATCACATATAGTACGACATCCATCATAAGCGACCAGATGCTTTTAAATTCTCGAGTGCGAAAATTTAATGATGACCATAGTCTCGTTGAGTACTTGTCCAAGTGTCCCACTTGTCCCATGTGTTATCGATGGATACCAATCCTTTCACGTTATCCTGAGGAGAATGTAATATTTTTTGCTTAAAAAAATATGCAACTGGACGATATTTTTAAATTAAAACTATATGCAATTATCTAATTTAAAAACATTTTTTACGAGAAAGATGTCTAAATTTTGTTGCTTTATAATATTATATATAGTGATTAATTGCTATCGCTCTCTTTTGATTCACACAATAAAATATTTTTATGATCAGTTAATACTTTATTATATTATTTTTATATTATTGATGTTTATGATTAATTAATTAAAATATTTACATTTTTTGTTTTTGTTTAATGAATTAATAATAATATGAGATATTTAATGTCTTACTTTTTCCAGTTAATGTGAATAAAAAAATCCAACTAGCGGAAAGCTACTGATTAAAATTAGTCAAATAGAGAGGAAATGATGATCTTATTACCTTGAACAATACATTGCGCTTGTCATTCCAGGCACCGAAAAGGCGTAGCAAATCCGGTTGCTTCGAATATAAGGTGCTCGCGGCCAAAATGCCATGTCTCAACTCTTCCAAGGTATTTGCGGCTTTGTCGGCCGAACTGACAATTATCCTTGGTGGCTCTAATCCTAAATTACAACGCTCCCATTCATTAATGGGCGCTTGACCACCATTTGGACAAAGCAAGACGTAATCTTCGTGTTTGCCTGCACCGTCCTTCTTGTTATCTAAAATAAGATATATGTTGATAAAATTGCAAATATAATCAAATATAATTTATTTAATTAAAATTGTATTTACCGAGCTGCTCCAAAGCCGTCAAAGGTAGAAACGCAACGTCTCCCTTGCCATCTTTCAAACACCTGGCGAGGAAGATCCAAATTAAATTTTTGACAGATAATATAACATTTAAAAAATAAGATATACATTTTTATTATTGAATTATGAAGAAAAACTTTGTATAATAGATTTCATGCTTTATAATAATGGAGAAAGTCATGTATATTAAATTTATTTCTACAATTTACAATTAGCTGAAAATACGTGCCCTATCGATAAAGGAAATATATAAAATATACAAAATTACCTAAGTGCTCCTTTTCCGCCATTGTAATGTTCAACATTTGTTGGTCTGCATTTTGTGGCTTCTTTCACTTGATCGTCACCGGATTTGATATCGCCGACGCACAATTGACAAGACTTGGAATTGAGAGATGCGCCAGGCGCACAAGACTCGGAGAAGAAGGTATCCATGTCTCCCGGTTCATTAATAAGTCCCTTTTGTTTGAGGACGTGAGCCGGTGCGGAATAACCGGCGAAGTCACCCTCGTAGCCACTGTGACAAGACTTCTTGCCTCTGAGATCGTCTGTAAAAGGAAATCGTTAACAACGTAATCTACAACAGAAACTTGCAAAAAGGCCCTTTTAGAGCTTTTTTCTTTCTGCAAACTTTTTTTAATTGTTCGAAACTCAAGTATTTTTCCAAAATTTTGATCTATGAAAATATGTGTTGATATCTTTTAACATTAATTTAGTATCTCAGTTTTAAGATATAAATAAATTCTAATAAATTCTTGAAATTTGATATAGTTTAATATCTTATTTTAAAATAAATGTAGAGATTTTATCGGAATGTTAATTTTAAATACGCAGATTCGTATACCTAATCCATTTATAGAAGAGCCACTCTTGACAACAGCGACTGCCGGTACCTCGTTGAGTTGCGTTGATCCGTTACCGTAAACTTCAGCGACGATCGGTTTCACGTTATAATTGTTGATTGCGAGTTTCACCGATCCACCATCGATCACAGTTATGTCTGCTCCGTTATCCCTGACGGCCTTTAAGCATGCAGTCTCATCCTTCTCCAGTACGCAGTCGAATCTAGGTCTGGCATCTCTATAAGGATTATAACATAATATAATACTAACATCTGCATTTTTTTATCAACGACCAATGTTTTGTCAGTCAAGTCCAAAGAGTTTCCATTAAGGTAGAATCATAAGGTTTCGTTATCTATATTTACATTTTTAAGGTTTAATTAAAACCTGTTTAATTTTCACGTTAAATAAGTAAATAATAAATTAAATTTGTTTTCAAGCAAAATCTTTTTAATTATCCAATTGAAAAGAAAAACATTGATACATTCCACGTGCAATTATGTACCTGGAAAACGCGGCTCTAGCGAGACTATGGCACTTGTCCAGCGCACTTTGACTCCAAACGCACCAACGAGCGTCCCTCTCCGGGGCTCCGGAATTTCTTTCGATCACGTCCATATATTTTGCGCTTTTCAGATGCTCTTCCGGCGATATTGGCTGTGCGGCGACAGCCAAGGTCTTCACGTTGAGCAGCATGAGATCCTGCCACCAATCTGTCTTTTCGTTCTCGCCAAGCTGACCCAGTTGCGTTAGTTCCTAAAACGTGTTGAAATTAAATTACAATTTTTTCTCGATTAAGAAATGTAATACCATATAAAAGAAATAATTAAAATTAAATCTTCCGTTGTAACATATGATATGATTGGTTCATTTGTCATATTTATTATTAAATGGCAAATCTTTGTAACAATATTTAATTAATTTTTTGTCTCTTTTATTATATGCTTATCAGATTAAAATATTACATCTCTCTTTCAATTATTAATATATCACGTAGATATATAAATATTTTTTTCGCGAAATGTTATCCTTATTTCATACAACGTTCAATAAATCATCGAATACGTAAGCTCTTAAGAAACAAATCTCACGCACTCTCTGGATAGCTTCCACGTTGTTGGCATCATCCCCGTTGGTCATGTATCCTTGCCATGGTCGGGCGGCCCACGTGCACGGTTTCGTATGGGCGTCGATGGGCACTTTGCTACCGTCCGGACAAAAGTATCGGAAATCGGCCGGATTCTCAGGTGTCGGCACTGCCGGGGTAACTCCGACGGGTAAGCCAAAGAAGCGCTTCACGTAGATGACCTTTGTCCATGCAACCTGACCGCCGTTGTGAGCCAGACAACGCAAGGCACCCTCGTATCCGGAATATATGTCTGGATAATCGCACACGTCTGGTTTCTCGCAAAGAGCGCACATGTTGCTGTACGTCTCCTCTGAAAAATAAAGGAAATAACAATGCACCTCGTAAAGTATTCGTAAAATATTCAAATGAAGAATGCGAAATACAAAAGAAGAAAATGATTAAAGAATTAAAATTTATAAAATTTTATCAGAAGAAATGCAAACTTAGAGAAAGTCATGAAACGCAACTTGATATTTTAATTTTATCTTGATATAAATATAAAGCGCAAAAATATTTTGTGTGAAAAAAAGAAAGAAACAGCGAGTTGATTTATGCGCACGTTATTTCGCAGCTAATAATATCGTTTACTGACAATTCGTCTATATAACATAATTGACGCAAGTTCCTTAGATTGCTGCCACTTACTGAGTCTTTGATTGATTTCGGGATCGGGCGACCACTTGCCTACCAGACAGCCTTTGTCGAAGAGCGTGCTCAGAGCGCGAAGCTCATTTTCGCGAGCGGAATATTCCGGATTGTTGATATCGGTCAATATACCCATAGCGGTGAGCTTCGTGATGGGAATCTTGTAACCGACATTACGGCCTACGCCTGTATGGCAGGACTTGAGACCCTTCAGACCCTGAACGTTATTGATGTTCAGGTCCTTGTGTACTACGGCTACCGCCTCGTAACGATATGTCGCGTCGGGTTCCTCCTTTGTCCTGACCTGATAGCACAAGCATAAAAAAGAAGAAATACATGTCATACATTATTCATTCTGCTTGAAAATTTAAATGCTCGTAAATATATGTTATTCTCGAGAGAGCGTCAAATGTGTACGAGAAATCTTAAGCCAGCGGATGATAATTTTAGATTTTTTCAAGTAATTCTC